CCCCCCCCCCCAGAGCAGGACATCTGCTCCTGCCCTGTTCCCCACAGCCCTTCCCACTGCAAACGGCCCCGAGGGTGCACTGGGCTGAGCAGTGTCAGCAGCAGGAGAGGCTGTGCAAGGAGGGGGAGCAGAGGGGTCCTGGAGGAGCCCCAAGGAGGAAACCCCCTCTCAGCTCCCCCCCCCTCTACCCAGAGCATCCAGACCCAGCCCCGCACAAGGAAAGCCTCCAACCTCCGCCACGAAGTCACGTCCTCCCAGAACTCATAAAGGATGAAGCAGGCCTCGTCTGTCAGCTTGCAGGCGGACACGCTGTGGGGAGAGGAGCGAGCCTGAGATGGGGCCTGGCAAGCTGGCACTGTGCAACCACGTCGGTCCCGCCAGGCCTGGGAGCGAGGGGCAAAGGTCTGCACATGAGTCTCACCACAGGGCTTTCAAAGAGCAGTTTGGATGCATCCACAATTTGTGGCTGGTTTGGCTTTTAGCGGATCCCGAATCCCAATCTTTTGTGCTTTGCAGCTCCTGCAGCCAGGCAGCGGAGGAGCTTCACAGTTATTAAACTGGTCCTTGCTGCTGCTGCCCAGAAACCACCATGTTAAGTCTTTCATTAAGTATTTCTTAGCACTGCAGCACACAGCCTGACAAAGGAGGTCATCCTTCCAGCCCTTTGGAGTAGGTGTGTGTCATGCCTTGCCCTTCCCCCAGAGAGAAACTGAGGCACAAGTGCAAGGAGCTGAGATCACAGCTTAAAACCACAGCCCGCTGCCCCTCGAAGGGATGCTGTTTGGCCAGCTGCTGCTTCCCACGCTCCCTCTTGCTGGAGGAACAGGCTGGGGCTTTCTCCAGTCCCTGGGAAGATGGAGGGGGAAGCAGCAGGGAGGCGAGAGAGCAAGGCTGAGGGTGCAGGGCCTGGGGAACCATCTGCACTGGGCTGCAGCATCATTCATTCCAGCTGAGGATGAACGTTTCCTCCAGCTGCTGCTAAGGGCTGCAGGAAGGGACCAGGCCCTGGGGGGAGAAGAGCAAAACAAGTCACCCGGCAGCTGCGGCTGCGTCCCCCTGCACGGGGGCTGCAACACGTTTTGTAATTCCCTGGCGTGAACCAAGACAACGGAGTCTCCCCCGGCTTTGCTCCAGCCTTCCACTCACGTGGAGAGCCTGCTCGTGCAACGCTACCCAGTTGTCTACACTAATAGTCCTCATGACAAAAAAGCCGATCAATTCCGAAGAAAAAAAAAATACCATTCTCTCTGCCACACGTGTCAAAACAAGTATTTTCTTTTTGTTTGGACTGAAAACGCAATTTTGTGCTGTTGGAACTGAAGAGCTGAAAAATGACACTTGAAATGGGAACGGCAATAACATTTCCCACTGAAAGCGGCTTGAAATCTCCCATGGGAGAAGGCAAGCGCCTCTCCAAGAGCAGCTGTGCAGTCTCCAGGGACACGCTGGCAGTGGCCTGTCACTAAACTCAGACCTGGGCTCCATCCTCACCTCTACTGAGAGCCCCGGCGCGGTGCTGGGGGGCAGAGCCTTGCTCTCACCCAGGGTTTAGCTTCAGGCGTTCACAGCTTCTTCCCACCAGCACTACACAGACTTTCTATAAAGCAATGCTCTGACATGAGCTCTCCCCTTGACTTTTCCCCCGTTACTTTCAAGGCCTTCAGTGCTAGAGGAATGCATGGATTTACTTACTCGCGCAGGCCACAGCCCTTCCTGCTGGCATAAAACCCACCCTGCTCCTTGCCAGACGCTGACAAGTGGTTCTTGCTGGGAGTACCCACAGCAGGAGACGGGATGATGCTGTAGGCAGAGACACTGCTGCAGCTCTGACACCATCTCGTCCTCTCTGCAAGGTCAAACCTCTGTGTGCCGAGCCCACCCTTGCACTGACCAGCACACAAAATACTCCCCAAAAAACCCTTTTGTCCCCCAAGGGTGCTGTGTTAAAAGCCCTACGCCACAACCAACCTTGCCGTTTCGCACACTTACTGCAGGCAGCTGCTCTGCCCGGCGGTGACCTCTGTGTAGGACCTGAATGCCTGGCGAAACTCCTCAATGCTGCTTGCTGCCACCGAGATCTGTCGTTTCGCCACCAGGATGTGCTGTGAAGGGAGAGGGGACAAGTAACATCAGGGACTCATCTGTCCCCTCCTGCCCTCCCTGCTCCCACCCTGCTGCGGGACAAGGCAGTGCCGAGCAAGCACAGCACCGCAGGGGAAGCCACGAGAAGGGGCTGGCACCACAGTGCTTGGGGACAACACCGACATAAGGTGGCTTCTTCCTCCCTGGGCAGGTTGCCTTTACAACAAGGACCGCACCAACAGGAGATGCTCCCATCTCCCGCTGGCGGGGTCCTGCTTTGGGGCTGCTGCGGTTCCCCATGTCCTTTCCAGAGGCCTTGGGACCCCTTCACTGGGGCTCTGCATGGTCTGCGAGTGCTCAGAGCAAACCCGGGGGATTTGGGCACTCACAAGCAGAGTGCTGCTGTCCTCTGGACTGGTCGTGGGCACTGCCTGGGGCTTTCATGGACCTGACGGAGCTGCGTTTGTCCTGTGGGTGGTTCCACGCCCAGCTCACAGCTCTGACTCCCATCCTGCTCCATCACCAGCAGCAGACCCCCCCACAGACCAAAGCCAGCAGCTCACCCAGGTGACGCCAGTCTCGGGGCACAAGGGCTGTGCGAGCACACGTGTGTGTGTGTGTGTGTGTGTGTGTGTGTGTGTGCGAGAGAGGGGGATCTATGCACACTATAGGGTTACCTGCAAACAACAAGCAGCAGGACAGGGACTTACTGCATCTCTTCCTTTGCACATCGCTTCATCCTTCAGCGGCTCCAGGCGTGGGCTCTGCATTTAACACCACAGGAAAAATCATCGTTACTGGGAGAACTTGGAAACAAGACAAAATGTGGCAGTAACCCACAGCCCAGCCCAGCTCAGCGTGACAGGTGGGTATCGCTCTGGGGATGTTCCTTTGGGTACTGGGGGGGAATAGGGATGACACCTGCACATATGTGGGGCTTGGTGGGCCCAGACTGACTTGTCAGCGCAGCACGGACCACGGAGAAGCCAGGGGAGGGTCAGCAGAGCTGAGGGGAGAAGGTTTACAAGTCTGGGTCTGATGAATGGGTGCAGCTCTGTAACAATGCCAGGACTGAATACCAGAGCCGTTGGCATGGGGAGAGGTCCCAGCAACGACCTGGCTGGCACCGAAGTGTGGGACAGCCCCCAGCCCACCTCCCCTCCCAGCCATGTACCTTGCACTCCAGTTTCTCGATGAGCTGCTGGAGCCTATTGATCTGTGCCATCCACTGGCTGTTGTCTTCAACACAAATGCCTGCACGGGGAGGGGCAGAGAGATGTCACCAAAAAAAGCTTGCTAAAGACCCAGAAAATGGCAAAAGCTTCTAAACCTTTTTTAGTTTTTAAACCTAAAATTTAAACCAAGATTTAAACCAAGAAACTCATTTGTTTTTCTTCTGAAACTTTTCCCACTGCTCAAGAGATACAACCTCCCACAGAAGCTCCAGCTGGCATCTGGGTGCGACGGTCCAGTGTCTGTCCCGGACAAGCCCCTGCTGTCCCGTTCTGCTGCTCCCACACCCACGCCAGGCTCCAGTGGGGCAGAGACATCAACCCAAGGGACAGCCAGGCCACAGATACCTGTCGTTAGCATCCCAGAATAGGGGTCCGTCGGAGACAGACAGACGTTCTTCTGTCCTCTGCGCCCACATCGTCTCCCTGACCTCAGGCCAACTGAGGTCTCAGATTTCTTTATGTCCTTTCTGAAAGAATAAAATGCAAAAGGAGGGGGTTGAAGTCATTCACTATATAGGTCAGCTTCACAGCGAGTTTGGAAAGGGCAGATCCTGCTCCCAGATGTCCTTCCCAGGGGGACTCGCGAGTCCTGCCCTATGCTGCAACCCCCACGAGTGACAGCAGGGAGAGAGGGAGGACCACCATGTCCCACCCCATTACCTCTCCCGTCCTGCCTGCTCCTCCACGGTGTCCACAGCACACTCGAGCGAGGTCTGCAGCGACTGCAGCTGGTGCATGGTTTCCCGCAGCAGGAAACGGGTCAGGAACTGCTCCATCTTCGAGGAGGTCTCGTACCTCTGTGGGGAAGCAGAACGGATCTGTGAGATGCCTCCGGCTCTGTGCAGGGGGAGCAGAGCCACATCTGGAAGGGGTTGGCCCTTAAATAAATCCAATGGGGTGGATTCCAATCAAATTTTTAATTACTGTAGGAAATGATGACACTGTAGAACAAAAGCATCCTCTGGGTGCATGCTTGTAAGGTCACAACAGGGAACACAGAGGACAACCCTCCCCATCCCAGCCCCAGCACTCACAGCCCCTGGGAGCCATGGAGGAACCACAGACGGACACTCCCAAGCCACAAGGTAAAGGCCGCTTGCAGAAATAGCCCCCAGCTCCAGGGAGGGCTCTGGGGCAGGCAGAGCATCCCTTGCTGCACCCAACAGTTCACACACTGCTCTGCTTGCACCAGGGCTCCTGGGATAAGGCTGGGACAAGGCCGGCAGGGCTGAGAACCTGCAGCGGATGCCAGGCGCAGGCAGCCCCTTCCAGGGAGCAGCCCACCACAGGCAGGACAGGGTGGTGGGCTGGTTTCATGCTCTCTCTCCCCGGGAAGACAGCACCAAGCCTCTCTGCTTTGACTGGAAGAGATCCTTGCTGAATTTATGACATGCACTTGTGCTCGGGGCCATCCCACAGCCCATCCCCATGTCATCTGCTGAGTGTGTGACAGTCCCTGCGAGCCCCAGCCCATCTGCCCTACGATGCTGGAGGGGTGTCCGGTAGGAACACGGGCTGCTGTGCCCTTTCCTCACCACTCTCCTCCCCAACATGCACACCATGGGCACTCGTGCTGGGGGTATGTAAAGGCGGGTCCAGGGGGGCACACAAGAAGCCCTGGGGAGAATGAAGGTGTCATCATGCATCCTGGTAAGAAGGCAAGCTGGCCCAGAGGGCACCCAAATAGTGGGTCAGGATGCACGCCATGTCCCAGGAGCATGTCTGAGAAGCACGGAGAGCTGGGGATGTGCCTGTACACACACACACGCACCCCCAACTCCATCCTTCCTTTGCCAGCTGTGACTACAGATCCTCTTGGGCAAAAATCTGGGTGCAAGGAATAGCCGCAGCCCAGAGCATGGCTCCTTTCCACCTGCTATGGGTCCTGCTGGCAGCTCCATTCCCTGCAGCCTGGTCCAACCACTCTACTTTCCTGTCCAGTTTTCACTTCCTTCCTTAAAACCATCTGGAGATTTGTCCTTGCACTGTTAGACATCCCAAGGGCCTGGGAAAAACCTCCAGGCCCCCAGGATGGAGACAAGGTTCCCAAGGAGGGGTGGGGAGCAAGGAGACAGGAAGAAAGGCTGAGGCAGGTACCCAGAGACAGACCCTTCTAGAGCAGGCACAGTTGTCCTCCTCTGGGGCTGAGCCACAGTCTCCCTTGCAGAGCAGGTACCTGTGCCTGGTTTGCCCCCACAAAACTCCTCTTGTTCCACTGCAGGGTGAGGCTCTTCCTCCTTCCTCAGCGTCCCTCAGGATATGTCGGTCATGCCAAAACCTGCAGTTGTCACAGACAATGGCAGCAGCTTCACCTAGGCAGGTCTTGCAGGCCAGAAGAAGTCCAAGTTTGTGCTAAGGACCATGTTGCTGCATCCCTGCAGTGCAGGCAGGAACTGGGAGATCCAGTGGCATCCCACTACCGCTGAAAGCACAGCAGGCTTTGCTGTAGCACCCAGGATGTACCCACTCAAGCACGGCATCACTGAGGACATGGAAAACCTGTGAACTCACCTCTTCTTCTGTGGCCTGAAAGCTCCCCCAGAGGAACAGCCGGTGCTCGTAGCCGACTCCCCGTCTTGACCCCTCCACCAACAAGGAAAAGTTGGTGGAGGTGCTTTTCGAGAGCTTTGGAGTGCCAGCCCTGCACATGGCTAACACCAGGTTCCTCTCCCTCTGTGCCTATGGCAGAGTCACCGGTCTAGGACAGGAGCGTCCCACGTCACCTCTGTCTGCCTGGGCCAGACCTGGAGGGAAGTGACCTACCGCCTCAGGGTGGCTGGTGGCTTCTTCTCCAGCTACAGACTGCTGATGGAGTGCCCCAATGACCCCTCAGGGCCGAAGGCCTTGAATAAGAAGACAGTGATCCAGCTGAAGAAGCGATGCTGCTATGTCTCCACGGACTATGAAGGAGACCTCCATGACCAAGGTTACCATCCTCCAGCACCTGATGGGCACTGGATAACCCTGGACAAGGAACGGTTCTGCTGCCTGGAGCCACTCTTCCAACTAAAGCTACTCCACCAAAGCTCCCCAAGGCTTCACCACTTGGCTTTGCAGAGCCTCCAGAAGGTACCCAACCACGCCAGCAGGGTCACGGTGGGTAACATCGTGCTGTCAGGGGGCTCCTTGATGTTTCCTGGCTTTCCCAAGAGGATGTGCTTAAAGTTGAATACCCTGTTCCATGGCACAGGCTGCCAGACTCAGGTCCTGGTGAGCCTGGAGAGGGCCACAGCAGCCTAGGCAAGGTGCTTGATGGCAGCATCGCTCATGTCCTTCCAGCACGTGTGGATGACAAAGACTGAGTACCAGGAGCATGATGCCGAGTATGTCCGCAAGATATTCCAGTAGGCAGACGACAGCCATGCATTCAAGGCATCCCACCGTCAGGGTATAGCTCCTGTTGCAGGAGGAAGGTCTCCGAAACACTGCCTTGCTCCGGGCAGAGCTGCAGCGGCAGTGGTGACTGAGGGCCAGCTCCTGTGGCGCCGCAGGAGTGTGAAGCCAATTCAAACACTCCAAAAGAAGTAAACTGCTTTTCATTTATGCTCTGGGTTATTTCTGTGCCTATCCACCACCACTGTAATAAGCATGTGTCCCATCAGGCTGGCAACACAACCACGGCTCGTGCTGTGAATTCAGGCCATGCCGACTGTGTGGGTCGACAGCTGAGCCCTGACGCACTGGTTGGAGGCCATGCACGTCTGCAGCACTGCAGCAAAGCTGTCCTTTCTGAATGCACCGCCTGTAGCTGCCAGCACGGGGAAGGGGGCTGCTACAGCAGGCAGGAAAGCTCCTTCCAGCAGTCAAGGCAGCAGGACCCTCGAGGTCTGCGGGGAGCCAGAGGTGTGGGAGGAACAAGCTGAGGAGGAGAAGGTTCACACAGCACCTGCACTGCAGCTACTTTGCTATGGGAGGTGATTTCTGATCTCGGCACTGAAGCGACTCAGCACTCGGTACAGAAGATGAGGTGGTGAAAACCAGGGAACTGGATTAGCTCTTTGTAATTTTGGTATGAAGGTCATTTGGTGCTTCAGGGAGCCAATTCAGCTCACTGAACAGGTAGAAAAGCACTCACCCGGCTTTGCTGCTGCTTTAGTGAACTGACTCAGCTTAGCAGCCGATTAGAAAAGGATCAGAGGTTGCATGGGGGCAGCAGCTGGGAAGCACTGCCCAGCTGTCACAGCAGACTCCTTTCCCCACAGCCAGCCCCCATGCCCACCTCCTCAAGGGACACAAAAGCCACAGGACATCACTGTGAGCATTGAGACAGGCGTGGCAGTGGGAAGGCAAGGAAGGTGTCTCCACATGATGCAGGAGGGCTGGTTGCTCCACAGGAGCATCCACCAGGAGAGGTCAACCCCTTTCCTTGACAAGATGAGGAGACAGAGTGGACCAGGGTCAACTCTGCCTTCCCCGTGGCGTCCTCACGCACCCCAACAGTTGCGGCACAGGCCAGGAGCCAGGCTGCCTTCACCACCCCAAGCACCATGAACTCCCTCTTTCATCTCCAAAATATAAGTCCAGCAATGCGATCACATTACTCAGGTCAAATATCTCCAATTCCTACCCATGTGTTGGAGAATTTAAGATCTTGAATTCCAGAAGCTCTGCACAAAAGCGCATGGACGTAACCCTTCGGATGCTTGTGTCAAAAATCTGTTGAGGAAGAGGGGGAAGCAGGGAGAGTCTTGAGCCTCACATGGTTTTCTGGTTCCTCTGCGCCACAGCCAAGTCACCAGCCCAGTCGCAGAGCTGTGTCTGCCCGAGGCTGCTGGCACAGTTGCAGCTGGCCGGGAGGGGAAGGTAAGTGGAAAGGATGCTCATCTACCGAGCACTGCCCTGGGCTCATGCTGGAGTGGGCGAGGGATGGCCACAGCCACTCTCCACAGTCCCCACCACCTGGGTGAGCAGAGCCCTCCGCCCAACAGCTGTGCTGCCAGCTGGTTTTCATCTGTGCTTGAAAATGAATCATGTTTTTCTGCCAGAGGAAGAGGATGGCAGCGAAGCCAACCCGATGTGGCCATGGGATGCTCTGCATCTCTGGGCTTTCCTCAGCCAAGCACCCCACCTTCTCCCAAAAGCCTTGCTTCCCCACAGCCCTAGAAGATGGAGAGTATAGGGCTGGGGACCCCAGGCAGGGACCCTGCTGCTCCCCCTGCCCACTCCTTCACCTCCTCACTCCCAAGGGGTTCAGGCACCCAAATCCCCTCCAGCACTGTTCCTCTGTGCTTACTCAGAACCCACCAGCCCAGACACACATCCCCCGCTTACAGGGGAACAACCGACCCTCAAACCTCCCCAGGACAAGCCTGAGAAAGAAAGGTGAAGAATACTTAATTGAGTCCTCAACTGGGGCGCAGCGGAAAGGATACATTATTCATCCACCGCATGGCTGGGCACAGTCCCAATTCATTTCAGGAGCTGGTCCAAATCCAAACACTGTCACCCCTCTTTCTGCACAGAGGGCACTTCCCACAGCGTGCAGCCTCTGCAGCCGTGTGGACTCGCTTAATAAGGTGTGCTCCCAACCTCCCCGGCCCCCCGCCAGGGCTATCTGTGGCCCCCACAGCCTTGGCATATGGATGTTTCCCCTTGCACAGAGGCCGGATGTTTCTCCCCAACCACATCGCTCCCTTTCAAAGGGCCAGGTGCTGGGAGAAGCCCCGGCGTCAAGCCAGCCTCCCAGCACTTCCCATCCTCTCAACTTTCATCCTGAGGATGACCTAATCCTGATGTCCTCTGTGGATGATGTCGGTGGATGGAATTTTATCGCAGGAGCAGGCAGCTGCTCCCACCGACATCGTGTCACAGCTGTGGGGGGCACGTTCAGCCTGCCCTGAGCCCTGCTGCTCACCCCAGAGCAGTCCTTATAACCCAAACACACAGGCATCAGCCTGGGGTGCCACCCCCCAAAACGCAACTACCAGCCCAGGACATGCCATGCTTAGAGGGGACTTGGCTCTGAAGCTCAGCATGTGGAGGACCCCCCATCCTCCTGGCCCCAGCCCACCCTGTAAGGGCAAAGCAGGATCCCATGCGGACACATCAGTATTTCAGGTGAGCATTGCACACGATGAGCCAGCTGCCTCCTGTCTCTCGCCTCGTCAAACACAGCACACCCAGGGGAATGTGCCGGAGAGAAGGAAATAACCGTCTCTCAAGAGAGCCCCAAATGCTGTTTCACCCTTATGCATCGACTTGGAAAATTTCATGCCAGGGAAGAGAATCAATTGAAAAAGGCACCTTCCCTTCAGTTCAGCTGCCCGACTCTCTTCGCACTCCTCACTTTGGGGCAAACAAGCAAAACTCTCTTGTCAGGTACTGCACCACACAGTTCAAACCCCTCTGTAAACAGAGAGTCAATAAAAATGTGCTCTGTCTCACTGAGCACAGGATTTTCTGCTCATAGCAAAGAACTCATGGAAAGGAGTCATGGAGGAAATAACTCAGCAAGCACGAGACATGGCTTCTTGGTCTGGGACTGGTATTTCAGCTCTGTTGACCCAGACAAAAATCCTAATGTTGCCAAGAGCTGCTATAATTCTGCTTTTGAGAAGTTTTATTATTTTCTTATGATGATAGTTAAGCTCGAGACAGAATGGAATAGGCGATCGCATAATTCCTGCCAAAGGAGAAATAAGAGCGCTTTACGTGGAGAGGTATTTATGGACTAGTTTGCAGTGTCTGCAAACTGCAGAATGGAAAGATTTTAGCATACAGGTCCCCTGTGAAAAATATCAGACCGTTTCCCAAGGTATTTCTACAGTTCCCTTCTTACTCTGATGCTATTATATTGCAAACACAAAGTTTAGCCACAAGATAAGGTTTAATTAGCACACTGCAGCATAGCTACCAAGTTATACTTTACAAATGTAAGTGGGAATTTGGAGAAAAACCCTCTTTTCTTGAAAAGGCATCTTTTCTTTACCATGTTTCTACCAACCCAGTGAAGAAGGATGGGAGCATAGGAACCCCTAACGATTTGGTTTCCTCCTGCCAACCTGTGGATCCATAAAAAAAAGATCACAAGCAGGTTTGCTGCCCACACATATGCTATTTCCTATGGTAACTGTAGTCACCTACCCAGCGAGAAGGACGAACCCACCTTGCGTTTCCCATGCTTTATCGCAGTGTTTATCCTGCAGTCGACAATGTGCATGGCAGGCAGCAGATCGAGGAGCCTGCCAGCGAGGAGCCAGCTGCTGAGACACACCATCGATCCACCCTGTGTACCCTGGCCCACTGTGACCGCGACAGCACACACAGAGGTGGGAATCCTTGATACCAAAAAGGCTTTCAGCAGCACTGCTTCAAACCACAGCTCCCAAACACAGAGCCGCAGCATATTCCCTCCGAGCTTTGGTTTCCTTATTTCCCTCTCTCTTTCCTCCTTGTAGCTCATCATCCTGCCATGGTCTGAGCAAGCCATGGGCATCTCCCAGGCTCCGCTTTTGTTGTGCTAACAAAGCAGCCCATGCTCTCTGTCTGTTTTCCTGCTTGTAAAGTGGGCTCGTATTTACATGAGCCTATTTACAGCTGCGGGGTAAATACCTGGAGGATGCAAGGATGAGTAATCCTGTGGCAGCAGAAGTAAGGAACTACCAGAGATGGACCATGCTCTAACCAAGAGATGCTGTAGTTCAAATGGTGAGACCTAGCTCAAGTCAGAGACCATCTTCTCCTTCTTCCAGCTAGCCCAGATTATCACTGCCTGCTCAGGAGTCACACGAAGCTCTCTTAAATACAGCCTGGGAAGAACAGGCAGGGACTGCAGATCCTTCCATGTCTGTTGACTCCACATCCCTGCTCTGGAAGAAGAGCTTTATGGTAAGGGCTGTTGGAGCTGGCAGGTTTCTTCCAGTTTGCTCAGCACACAGCACGGCTGCACCTCCAGCTCCCCAGGATGAAATTTCATTCAGCTCTTCCAGAAGGGTGGTCTCTCTGCCAAACTGGGGCTCTCAGTCCTCAGCCACGGTGGCTTTAGAGGCGTTTGAATCAACAGAAATGAAGGACAGACGTGTAATATGGGAAATCTCTGTTCTCTACCCCCTCCCATGGCTCAGAGAGGTGTGAGCTTTGGCTAAAATCCAACCTCATAAACCCACTAATCCCATAATAACCCAAGATCAAGTCCCATTCTGGAAATACAAACGTGGGAATATATTCACGTCAGAGCAGGTAAGAACGTAGCATTTATCATCTCTGCCAGCCTCTAGCAGGGACAGATTTCCCACAGCTCTGCAACAGCCATGACCATAGGGTTGGAGCATTGCCCTCTCCTGCCTTCTCCCGCGCTCAGAGCCCAACGGACCAGGGAAGTGCAGGGAGATGCTTCCTGGGAGGGTCAGTACCTGCACTGGGGCACCCAGGAGCTCAGGGCTGGGATCAGAGCACCCGACCAGCACAGACTTCGCCCAGGTAAGAGCAGCGCTGTGAACATCTGGCTGCCCTAGCCCTCAGGCTCTGGGCAGATTCAAATGAGGGTGGAAAAGCGAGTCCACAAAAATCTGTTTCAACAGGGAAAACCCACTTCTCTTTTCCAAGGAACACCTGCGGCACCAGAAACTATTAAGGGAATGAATGCATCATGCCAATACTGTGAAGCAGACAGTAATTGCGCTGTCCTTCCAAGAAATACATGAATATACAAATTCATTATCAAAACCAACAAAACGGAAAAGAACTGAAATAAAGCATAGCTCTCTGAAGAGGATTCACTGTCTCCCTCTGGACTTGCATTTGATAACTGTGAAGGGGGCCAGGCAGCTGAACCAAAGAGAAAATGCATTTTCAAGTGATTCCCTCTCTGGCATGACATTTCCCAATGTACAGGGAGATGCTGCTGAGGCTGGATCTGGCCAGAGGAAAATTAAAAGAGAGGGCAAGATCGTGACTGACACTACAGAGGCACAAACACCACTTCAATGACTCCACAGAGCTCACAGCGGGACCGGTTCTCCTTCGCTTCTCTGTCCAATCAGTGGGTCAGTGGACAGTGCACACGTGGATGACACCCTTCACCTGCTTCCTACCAAGCATCAAACCACCACATCGAAGGGAAAGAAAGGGCCGGCTCTTCCCACGGCTGTAAAACAGCATCAGCCCCAAGCACACAGTTAAACCATTTAATACATTTCAGATGCAGAGGGGGGATGATGGTCCCCAAGGAGGGTCCCTTCCAGTATTGGCCACTGCTTTTCGCAGCCATATTTAGCCCACAATGCTGTGCACTGCAGACCTCTGCTCTCCAAACGCAGAGGCAGGGGGGCTCGCAAAGCAGGACGCTGCTTGCCCTAATTAGCAGCCTCCAATCTGCCTCCCATCAGTACGAGCTGCAGGGAGAGGGAGAACATTCACCGCAGGGATGAACTCAGCACAAGGCTGGGAGTCAATGAATTTCATCATTTTCTACCTTCTCCCAAGCGCCTCGCTGTTTCCCAAAGCAGCCCTCCTGCCGCAGTGCCTCCTGCCCTCTCTCCGGTAGACAACTTTTGTTGCTGTGAGCACAGGCTGTGCTGAGCACAAGCTCCCGGGGTCAGTCCAGAGCAGGCTCAACCCTGGCGTCCCCATTTCGTGCCGCACTGCTTTGTGGAAAAGACCTTGCTTTGGGTCAGAGATGCAACACATAGATTATCAGCGATGTTCCCAGAAACAGTGTCCCCGGGCAGGACACTGCAAGTGGTCTGCCAGGAGCTATTTAAACAACCACTGCCAGAGCCCCACGAGGAATAAGACATCTCCAGAGCACAAAAGCACTAGCTCTGCCCTTCTCCTCCTCTAGCATGGCTCCCCTTCCTCCAGGCATGCTGCAGGCTGTGCTGCTGCAGCACTCACTGCACATGGAGATAACCGAAGCAGGCACAGGCAATCCCATTGATCTGGGAGGTGTCACATTTGCTACCCCCGACACCTAAGTTTAATGCTAAGCAAGCAGTTAAGATCACCACAGCTTCCGTTACGCACCTGCCTGCTCCGCTGCCCTCCCGCGTTCCCATCCTTACCAGCTTGGTTTTGTCCATGGCCACCAGGACTGCAGAGTTGAGGGCTTCCAGGGCAGAAAGCACATTCCTGTATTCTCCGAGATATGCCGAGAAATAATCTGAAGCAGAAGAGATCGTGGTGAGCTTCCCGAGTGCCTCCATCTCTGCCTGCCCCACACCGGCTGCTTCCTGCCCACAGCCCAGCGCTGCAGGGGGGCATTCGCATCCCTCTCCAGAGTCGTGCTCCAACCTGGACTGAAATGAAGAGTCCTCTCCTATCCCCAGGGACAAAACATCCCATCCCTTTGGGAAAAGCAGATGCCCTCTGTGCTGGGATTCAAGCACAGGGACTGTCAACGCCACCTGACTGCCCGGTCCTGCCCAGGTCATATGTGCATAAAGCCCCACCACACACTCTCAAGAGAGAAAGCCCTCTGAGGCAGGAATACCACCCTACTTACCACACAATTTCTCTGTGTCCACGTTACTGCAAGAAACAGAAAAACAAGCTCTTGTTAGATAGTAGGGCTGGTTTGGGAGAAACAGTTGTGGTGAGTAGAGTCTTGAGGGTTTGTTTTGAGCCCCCAGTGGATTTACTGCTCCTCCTGCGTATTTTTAAAAGCTGTATTAAAAAAATAAAAAGATGCACAAGTTCAGAGCCAGCAGCTCAGGAGCCATGCCCAGCACCTGCAGCACTCAGACAGGGCTGTAGAGCATCACCTCTGCTTCGGGAGCTGAAGGAGCAAGCAGAGCTGCTCCACCAACATCTAGAGCTGCAACATGCTGGGAAAGTGTCTGCGACAGCAGGATGGGACCAAGCCGAGGTCAGGGGAGGCAGGCAGCACCCTGTGCCCCTGGGCTGACCAGTTGGGTTGGTAGCCCCACTTCTGAGCCCCCGAGCCAACAAGCCCCAGAAACTGCTTCTTCAACCCAACCTCTTCCCCTAAAGGTACGAAGCATTCAGCCAGGGCTTCCTCCTCGTGTCTCCCTTGCCCTCAGCCCAGGTCCTTCCTCATGGTTGCCCCATGGCACCAGGCCCCTTCCTCTCCCATCTGCGCCATGGGTACCCCCAGCTGCTCCTCCTCTCCCCTGCCTTCAGAGCCTGGGTGATGTGGGGCTGCCTTCAGGCTCCCAGGGCAGGGGGCTGGATGGCTTCACTGCCCATGAGAGAGGTTGCTCCTGCCACGAAGGCCATTAAAGCAGTGATGCGGGTCCGAACACCTGGAGGCAGGGGCCAGCCCTCACCCCTTTTCAGTAACAGAGAGCACTGCACTGGAGAATCAATGCTGGCATCACTGCAGGGCTTGGACGGGTCCCTCCTGTTGCTAACAAAGATGATGCTGGGGTGGAGAGGGAGGAGGAAACGTCCACAAACAGGCACATGTTTTCAGGACAGGATGTCAAGCAGAACCATGGGTTCGCATGAAGCTGTCGGATCCACTCAGGTGTCCAAAGCCACGGATGCAGAGCTGCTTGCCATGCCTGGCATCACCTGCAGAGCCTGCAGGGAAACGCCCCAGGATATCATTTATTCAAATCAGCCTCTGCTCAAGAAATTCTGCTGTCTCAAAATCCCCTAAATGATTACAACTATTTTCAATCCTGATTGGGAAAGTGGAAGGAGCATGAAAGAGTTTTTTGTGCTTAAATGCTGTCACACATGGAGGAACTGGCGATACCTGGAGTTTGCTGGGCTCCAAGAGCAAGGATGGCTGCAGTGCCACTGTCCAGGGGAAGTCAAACCACAGCCACATTGCCCTGTCCCCCCTCTGACACTGCTCACAGGGCAAAGGGGCAAAAATGCCTGGAGGTAAAATTAAAGGGGAGTGTGCAAGGTGTCCAAAACGCCATGCCAGGAACAAGTATAATAATTTAAACAAAATCTTCCTACAGCTTTTGCCACAAACATCAAAGGCTGGTTTCTGTCTCTCTCTTTCTGCTGGACTTCCACTTAGTGTACTTTAATAATAGGCAGTGCTTCAAACCATGAAAATATTTTGGTGTAAGACCTCATCACAGACCCATGGCAGTGGGACTGCAGACCGCTCTGTTTAGCTAATTGCATCAGGCGCTGCCTCAGGCAATGGAGATGGGCAGTTTTAGGATGTGATTTGGCTCATCTATTTTAAACACCTACCGCAGGAGCTGATTAAGGCAGGGCTCTGGCACACTGTCCTGGCACTGCAGACAGTTTTTAAAGTGGATAATAAAATAGTGTTTCCCTTGAGACGCAATACAGATAATCAGCAAAACCACAGGCCCTTCTTCTGCCGACTCCACTCCATCAAACTCTGCTGATCCCATCTCTGAGCAGCTCCGCACATCCGACCACAGCTCTGCTAGACAAAGCAACTGGAGTTTGAAGCACAAATTTAAATTGGAAAAGTGTCTTGCTCCTTTTTAGTTTTTCCACTTATTTCTGAAAGCCACCTGAAGCCTGCAGAGCCACTGCTGCTACACCGCCACAAGAGACTTGGCACCGCAGCGTCCATGGCACCGCTTGTTAGACCCATGCCCCAGAGAAATCACTGCAGTCACTGGTTCCCATCCAAGAGATAGGTAAAAATCCCAGAAGAGGGGATATGGGCATGAGATAACAAAATACACTGTGAAACACCTAATACATACATTACCCAGGCATTTGCATCCATCCTCAGTGAGAACCTGGGGCTGGGACTGGTTTCACCAGCAAGAAGGGGCTCAACTCACTGCTCAGTTCCCCACCTCGGCTCTAGCGAGCAGGCATCAGTGTAACAAAGATCAACACCAACCCTGTGGCTTCTAAGGAGGGGCCAGAGATTATTAATAACTCTTTCTACCTTGTCCATTCGCTGCTTAAAAACAAACATTAACTAATCAATCACTAAAACACTGAACAGTTAAACACTGAATCAATTGCCAAGATCTTGCGGCAAAAAATCAGCCCTCTGGGAGTTGTCTGGTGGAAGATCTGTGCCCTTCCCAATGCAGCCTGCTCCGTCAGCAATCCTGCACGGCCTCCACATCCTGCGGCAGCCCCCAGGGCACAGTTAGGGGCAGGACAGAGCACAGCAAGCAAATCACAGGACTGATGGTGCCATTTGCATGCTACCAGCAACCAGGAGAAGCTCATATAAAGAACCTACATGTCAAATCCTGACCCATTTTGCAGGGCTGCAATGGGGCAGCAGGCTTTGCTCCACTCCTCTCTCTGCCATCCCCTCTCCCACTCCAAGAGAAAAGCCACTCTCTGCCTCCAAAGCACTCATCCTGAGACACTCCACATTTCCACATCGCTGTATTTTGACTGTGCTCAAACCACTGATTAACTGTAATTAAGCTTGAACTGACGATGAAGGATCTTGTCATCATTACACTGTTGGGATTTTGTCAGAATGCGTCTGGAATTTATGCAAGAAAACAGCAATCAGCTTCAGCAAAGCAGATGGGATTTTTTTTATTTTTATCATTTATCATGTTGGGAACCTCTGCTGCCATCACAGATCTGGTTTCCAAACCTTTCCAGTGACTCAGAGTGCCTCAGTCACTCTCTATCATTCAGACACTGGCAGACGCTGCAGCTCTGAGTCTGACTAAAGAGAGGGGAGGAAAGTTCACACAAATTCTTTCTTCCACAGCACCAGAGGCTTGAGGTTATTTCCACTAAGTTTTTAAAAACTACCAGGTCAGCACTCCCAGCTCAAGGTCAGAGACACAGGCTCTGGGCAATCCGTATCCAATTCCTGCCACCACCACCTGACCGCTCTCATGCAAAGGAGGATTTGCCAGACCTTATTTTTCTAAATTTTCCCAACAGATGCAGGACAAAGATAGGCGAGGTCCACGCGACACTTCCTTGGGCAGGTTTTAGACCTCTGTAAAGAGCAGTAGCCATGCAACCTATGCAACACTGCATTAGACTAAAGTCCTTTGTAACCGAATTGCCATTAAGTTGTCCCCATAAGACCCTGGGATCTGCTGCCATCCCGCCAGGCTGGGCTGCAGACACACAGCTGCTAAGAGAGCAAACCGCACTGTGCGTCTCCCAAGATGCTTCTGCAGCGATGGAGCTTTTTCATCCCTTCAAAAACATTTGTCTCTTCTCATCCAGATGTTTCAGTGGATGAAAATGCACTTTTCCAGGAAGATGAATCTTTCTGTTCTGTCCCAGTGCCAGTGCTGGTGTGGAGCTTTCCGACAAGCTAAATGAAATGGTGGACCTAACTGTGGTACCAAGCCGCAATAAAGAGTTGAATTCAGTTTCAAAATAATTTTTTTAATATCAGAGAATTAGAGTAAGGAGACATTTTAAAGCCAAAATCTAATAATTTTCAGAAATGCAGAACAAAAACAGCCTTGTGGGGAAATGTAAAATCTGAAGCAAACCCAACAGAGGTGCCTGACACAGAAGCCACATCTGAGCGCTGGGTGGATGGGAGGTGGAACAAAAATCGGATGGGAAGGACGGCAAGAAAAGGTAAGCATGGTGCTGTGATCTCTCTGGAAGGAGGACAAGTAATGCGCAAGCGCTCTGAAATACTCATCTTCCCAGATGTCAGCTTTGGAACCCAGGAGAGCAGCTGAAGGTTGGCAGTGATGGGTGAGGGTCAGGACATGTCTGGGCAGTAGTGCTCTGTTACCCAGACACAGAGAGTGCCTGGGTATAAAGGTCTCTGTGACTGTCTCTCCTTGGGTCAGGCTGGCACTGACAAAGAAACACAAGTTTCAGCCTAGACCTGATGAACACAGCACCCTTCTGGCCAAATCCACCCACTGGATTAAGGGTGGAAATTTCCCATCATCAGAAAAGCTACGGGATACGAAAGAAGCACACCAGATGTGTTTGTAGAGCTTGCAGGCGCTTTCCAGCTTTGTAATACCTTGAGTATTACCTCAGGTAACAGCTCTTGAATCTGGTAGCAAATTTCAGCCAGCTCTCAAAAATACTAAATTCCTGCAATTGCAAGGCAAGCAGGCAGCCCAGAGGAGAGGGGCTGTCCAGCCCCCCTGTGAAGGGGGCAGCAGGCCACCAGCACAGCCCTTACAAGACACCAGAGGTTCTACAAAGGAGCAAGTCCCGCTGCACACCCCAAAACCAAATGCCAGAAAGTCCAGCTCTACACACAGAGTCAGAGAGAGCTCTATGAGGCCCAGCATGCTGAACACTGCTTGATTTCCCTCACCTGCTGCTGTGCAGCGGGCAAGCAGTCCATGGGGACAGATGGGGTCAGACCTCCCTGGGGACAGGCCTGTCTCTCCAAGTCCCTTGTCCCAGCAGGTATGCGGCTCTGGGGCAGGATCTGAGCCCTCTGGCAGACAAAGTGCTGCCCCACAATGTTTGCAGGGAACAGGATGCCTCTCACCAGACAATAAGCTGAGCGCCAGGTTCCCTCTCTGGGAGGTCCCATCTGCTCTTCCTCCACAAGCTGGGGATGAAGCTGAAGAAATCACGTACAGTTCCCTGCTGCCACTTCCCACATCCCATCCCGCTCCTGCTGGCTCACACTG